TGCCGCTCGGCGGATGGGCCGGGCCTGCGTTCTCTCCTCCTTCCTCCCCGCCTCCGGCTGCCGGCAGGACCTTTCTCTAGCTGCCGCTGGGACCCCGTGTCATCGCCCAGGCCGAGCACGGTGAGGCCCTCAGGGAGCCCGGGGGCGCGATCTCTGCCAGGTCTTCGGTGCCCGGGCTCATTGCCCTGAGGCTGGCGCGAGGCCCGGGCTCAGTGGCCAAGATGGGGCCAGGGCAGCGGGTGGCGTGGGGGTGTGTGGATGAATGAGGCGCTGTCGGACTAGGCCGCGAGTCGGGAGATCGGCCTAACCTCACGCGGGAAAACCCTGGGAAAAGCCTTCTCCCGAGGCCGGGACGCCCGGTGACCCCGTCCGGAGAGGAGGATGGGGGTGGGGCCCACTTTGGGTGGGCTGCCGGCCACCCCTCGGTAGACCAGAGGACCCGACAGGCGCTGTTCATGTGTCTGTTCTTTGGAGGCCTGGGGGTTGGCCAGGAACAGGTGTCAGGACGCTGAGAAGGGAAATTCCTGGCGCTCGGGGTCAGGGATCAGAGGCTGGAATACTACTACGAGGGCTTGGCCCCAGCGTGGTCCTAGGAGATACAACTCTCAGCCAGAATACAGGGACAGTTTTAGTTCCCAGCTTCTGAGACGTGAGCTTAGCGGTCCTTGTGATTTCACTTTGCAGTACAAGAGTGGGACTAATTCTGCACGCATGATTTGGAGACAGAACTAGTAAGGGACAGAGAAAGTTTCTACTTGTAAATAAAAAGTTCCATCGATTAATTTACGATTAGAAATAGTAACCATAGTGTAGATTATGGAGGTTGCTTATGAGAACTGATGAGCCTCAGTGCCAAAGGTGGCGGGGACTTTGTGGAAGGACCCCAGTATCTGGTGGGTGTTCATCTATGTGAAAATGGGGATTGTGGGCGAATGGGAAGGATAAGATTCCAGATTATAGAGGAATGGTTTTGTGTGAAGGGTGACTTGGTTGCTGGTGGTTCCAGATGGAATTTTCTTTGACTCTCATCTATGTACGTGCTTCCAAATGCTTTCATTCATATAACCATGTATCAGGTTAAGAAATAAAGTGTTTTGTGAGCAGTCTGGATGGAAGATTGGTAGCTAAACTCTTAGTTTATCTTTGATTCCTGGTGCCACAAATATTTTATTTATTTATTTGAAACAGGGCCTCGCTTTGTCGCTCAGGCAGAGCCCAGGGGCGTGATCTCCGCGCAGTGCAACCTCCGCCTCTCGGGTTCAAGCAGTTCTCTAGCTTCAGCCTCCCGAGTAGCTGGAATTACAGGCACGCGCCCCCACGGCCAGCTAATTTTTTGTATTTTTTTTTTTAGTAGAGACGAGGTTTCTCCCTGTTGGCCAGGCTGGTCTCGACTCCCGGTCTCAAGCAATCTGTCCACCTCGGTCTCCCAAAGTGCTGGGATTACAGCGCCTGAGCCACTGTGCCTGGCCCAACAAATATTGATTTTAGATCAGTCTTTCTGGGACTTCTCAATAGCGACTTTTTTGACAACAGATAGGTTTACAGAACTTTTTAAAAATTTTTGCTAAAAAAAGGATTTAGCTCTGTGTTAGTTTTGGATCGCTATATAAAGTATGTTTTGTTCTTAATCTTAATTCAATAATGTATTTTATATGATGACATGTGTTTTGGGTCCATGTGGATAGTAAAAAGTTTTGTTCATATGTTTGCTTTGGTATTTCAGATGCCCCCTAAAAAGGGAGGTGACGGAATTAAACCACCCCCAATCATTGGAAGATTTGGAACCTCACTGAAAATTGGTATTGTTGGATTGCCAAATGTTGGGTAGGTGAACGCTGGGGCTTTTCTGATTTTCATTCTGTAAATATTTTGGGTCCTATTGTAGAAATGGGAACCGTGAGGTAATTAAAATTTAAGTTGAAGAAAAGAGGCCAGGAAGCTGGACTATTAATGTTGCAAAATTAGGCTTTAGTTTAGATGTATTTTATTGATTTCAGTGCTGGTTGGCTATGTGTGGTACCTACCTAGGCTGGCTACCGGAGGCCGTGCAGTAGGATGCTTTAGGAAATCGATTTGAAAGCTCCACTAAAAGCTTGATGGAGAAGAGGGTGACAGTTTTAGATTTCGTAGTGGAACTTGGTAGGTAAAAGCGTTGCTGTTATAAAGTGTCTAAATCTGAAAGTTCTGAGAGCAGAAATTTGAGTTTTTGTAATGTTTTCTTTTCTTTTTCTTTTTTTTTTTTTTGAGACAGAGTCTCAATCTGTCGCCCAGGCTGGAATGCAGTGGCATGATCTTGACTCACTGTAACCTCTGCCTCCCGGGTTCAAGTGATTCTCCTGTCTCAGTTTCCTGAGTAGCTGGGATTACAGGCACGCACCACCACGCCCAGCTAATTTTTGAATTTTTAGTAGAAACAGGGTTTCACCATGTTGGCCAGTCTGGTCTCGAACTCCCGACCTCAGATGATCCGCCTGCCTCAGCCTCCCAGAGTGCTGCGATTACAGGCACGAGCCACTGAGCCTGGCTGTAATGTTTTCAAAATTACAGTGAA